ATTTGCTGCTTATCTAAAAGAAAAAAAAAACAGTTTGAGGCTGCTGCAGGAGTTCTTTGAATGGAATTCATTTGAAGTACTTGCTTTCCAGTTCACTTCAGAGAGAGATGAGGCCAGGTTAGCAGCAGTGGTTTTGCAGAGGAGGTAAAATCACTCACCCACAAAGGTCAGACCCAGTTTCTGCCCTGGCCATGCACACACGCGTGCGTTGACCTTCATGGAATTGCTGTTTGCCTCCAGAAATAGCCTGCTGGTTAACAGGCACTGGCCCACCTATGTGCTGAGCAGAATGGCAGAAATACTAATGAGACAATAAATTTTGCATCCAAAAACAACAGAAAAGATTCCGTTGAAAACTTCTTCCTAGAAGTAGAGGTCAGGGAGCAGGTTACATTTCTAAGAATGCTTGTAGTGAGGAGAGCTACAGATCCTTTTCTTTTGGGACAATTGTACCATCAGTTACTCTTAGAAGCCACCGTGAGGTGTGCTCTGGCTGTATGGTTTGATATCTCTGTGTGTTCATTTCAGAGGCTGGGAGCTTCAGCAGTAAAATCTTTTAATTAATTAAAATTCTTCCTTTCTAAAAGCATCTGACTGTCCAGCAACTGGTTAGTAGCTGAATGTGCTGAATGGTTTATCTCAGTTGCTCAGGACAGAGAATTTGTCTTATTAAATATTTAGTTGCCCTCACCCAAACATCTTTATTTAAAAAAGCCTGACATAATGAGATCTATATATCTTGTCTGCAGGAGCAGAGGCACTATTTTCCTGACCTGTTTAGGATGTGTTCCAGCTGCCAGAGACAGCAGCTGAATTTACCTTCCAACAATGACTGGCTTGTATGCCAGGTTGTGTGTGTTGTTTCAGACCAATTAAGTCATGGAGCAAAATCTCCTCTTGTCTGTAGCACTTGGGTTCCAACCACTTCCAGCTGTAAGAAGAAGAGAATGTAAATGGGTGGTGGAAAAGGGAGGTGTGTAGGGACAGGAGTGTGGGATGGCATTTTGCATTCATGCATGAGGCAAATCCCAGAGAGCAGAGGTGAGAAACAGCACTTGGAGAGAGTGACTGAGCCACAGCAGGGAGTGGATGTATAAAAAATGACAGCAAAGGGCATGAAGTGGGTAGATCCTCAGTAGTATTCAAACAGGAGACAAAACTGTTGCTTAGAGCTTCTCTTGATTTGGGTCTATGCTTGATTCAAAAGCCTTCTTCAACGTGTGGCTGCATTTTATATAAAAAATAGGCTTGTTCCTGATGTGGAGGCTACATGACAACATTAAAAGTATTTTATGTTTATGTTAAAAGTATTTTATGTTAGCTTGCTTCAAATGTGTACAGGACATGCCTGAAATATCTGGCAGCTGTCGTGTTGCTTTGATGGTGTAACTGGGTGTCTTATACATAATTTAAAGTCATTTTCTTAAACTATAATTTAAAAGAGGTAAAACTGCTAAGCCCCAAAGCAAATTTTCTCCATGCTTAGACAAGAGTCACCTTTAGAGGAGGTTCTGGTGACTCATGGTGTGTATATTGGGATGCAGTTGCTAACTCATTAGATAGTTGTTTAATTTATTTTCCCTCCAGATTGAATCCAAAATCCAAATTCCTGGGAATGCATGCATGGTTGGAGCTTGTGATACTTTTGTGTCCTCTTACTTGTGACCATATTGTTTTCAGATGACCAGAATTTTACAGCTTTTGCTTCCCATTCTAAAGGAGCTGCTCCTGCCCAGCAAATAAGGAATTATGTCCTGACCTGTTCTTAAATCATGTTTTTTTCTCTGCACTTTCCATAGGCTGGAGTGAAAGGGACGTTAGGAAGATTAGTGGGAATTTTTGAGGTAAGTTTCAGACTCTGAGACTGTGAAATTTTGATGCCAAAAAAAAGGATTTGGAGTAAAAAACAGAGAACCCGTTTCAAGGAAAACTTCAAATTCCCTGTTTAAATAAAAAACATCTGCAATTCCCATTCCAGTTGAAATCCTGAGTGATGAGCCAGGGTATCAGGGGCTGTTCTCTGCCTTCATACCCTTCTTGCTGCCCAAAAAGGCCACCCAGTGGCTCCAGCACCTGCCATCACCCCTTGCCCCAGTGGCCTCTGCAGGGTGGTGAAGGTGTGTGCTGAGCCAACAACTGCCCAGCTCTTCTTACAGTTCTTTTCTCAGAATGGTATGAAAAAGATTATTAAAAAAAAATCTTTCCTGAGTTTTTTCCAACTGAGGAACTGATTTATAAGCATATTTGCCCACCAAATACTGTCTTCCAGATTAGGAGCTAGACTTTTTGGCTGCAATCCCCATTAATATTTTCAGACTTTTCATTTAAAAATGCAACATTTTTTTATAGCTAAGAGCTGAAATGTGAGAACTACTGCAGCCTCACAGCTTGTGGTTTCTAGTCACCTTGTAGCTCATGCCTTTTTGTCCCTTGGTGGCTTTGTCATTAATTAATGACATTAATTAACAACAAAATAATAACACAAATTCAAAGGGTTCCTTTTCCCCTCTAGAATCGGGACAGGAAACACAGGACATATGTTTACGTTCTTATTGTCACAGAAGTGTTGGAAGACTGGGAGGACTCTGTCAATATTGGTAAGTTTCTTTCTTGGAATGAACTGGTTGGATGCAGACAAAATGTGTCAGCATCCCTCTGGGAGCTGGGATCCTTGTGGGCAAGGAAGGTTGCAGTGGAGAGTCCTTTGGTTGCTTGGGAAAAAACAAAAATGTTGTCCAATAGATGTTTTTGTAACCTCTGTGATCCAAAATCATAGACTCATAGACTGGTTTGGGTTGGAAGGAACCTTCAAGATCATCCAGTCCCAACCCCCTGCATGGGCAGGGACACCTCCCACCAGCCCAGGTTGCTCCAAGCCCCATCCAACCTGCCCTTCAACACCCCCAGGGATGGGGCAGCCACAGCTTCCCTGGGCAACCTGGGCCAGGCTCTCACCACCCTCACACCAAAGAATTCCCTCCTCATGTCCAACCTCAATCTCCCTCTTCCACTTTTCATCCATCCCCCTCATCCCATCCCTCCTGCCCTTGTCCCAAGTCCCTCCCCAGCTTTCCTGGAGCCCCTTCAGGCACTGGAAGCTGCTCTAAGGTCTCCCTGGAGCCTTCTCTTCTCCAGGTTGAACACCCCAACTCTCTCAGCCTTCTCAAGTGGTCAGTTAAGCTGCACAGCTGCCCCTACAGCAATTTTATATTTAATTATTGCAGTTTAAGATACTAAGTAAAGAGGATGAAGAGCTGGCCTAGCTTTTCTAAGACTAGAAGAAAACAAATGTGGGCAGTGTGATTTAATCCATTATCTTTTTAATTCTTGGTGTTTAAATCTGATTTCCAAATGAGAGTGAACCTGCTCCACATGAGGTGGTCAGGAGCACTGGAGCAGCTGTGACCTGACATTCCTCAGGCTGTGTCCAGAAGAGGTTTTATGGAAGGAGTGAGGAATGAATGGTGTCTACCAAAACCTGAGGGTCACTTGAAAAAATCTGAGTGGTGGTTGGTGCGTGTTGTGGTGGATTGTCTTAAAATGAGTGTTTGAAATTGCAGAAATAGCCCCATAAAAGTGTGGGTTTTAATTAGGAAATGCAAGATGGGTTTTTTGGACAGTGGATGTACTGCTTTAAGCAGATACCTGTCTGGGGACAGAGGAGCTCTCCATGTGGAGTTTGGAGGAGGTGGTCAAGAACAGAGACTCTGGAGAGAAAGTTCCCTTTGCTGCACAGTGAAGCTGTTCTTGCATCATTAGCACATGTGATAACAATGAGTGAAAGCTCATCACCCATCAGGATTCAACACAGAAACGATCACCTCGTTTTGTTGCACCTACTGATGTTTTCTTTTCACCCCCAGGAAGGAAAAGGGAATGGTTTAAGATAGAAGATGCCATCAAAGTTCTGCAGTGTCACAAACCAGTGCAGGCCTCCTATTTTGAAACCTTGAGGCAAGGCTGTTTGGCAAACAACGGCACTCCTGTCATGACCACGACGTTCTCGGAGAGCTCCATGTCTGACATCAGATGACTGAAGACTTCCCTAGGAGAGAGAGTTTGAAAAACAGACTGAAACCTGGATTTCCCTTTCCCCCTCCCCTTTTTCACATGCCTCCTCTATCCAGCAAGGCATGGGCAGCAGCCTGTGGCAGAGCAAGTGTTGAGTGCTGCAATTTAGTGCAAGGTGGGATTTTATTTCATTTTTGTCGGCTTGTTTTTTTTTTTGTTGTTTTGTTTTCATTTTTGGTTGTTTTTTTTTTTTGCTTCTTTGGATCTGTATTTTGTAAAATACATTTTGTGCATGAAGTGCCCCTTTCCCTTGACACCTTTTCCATGGCCTGGCAAGTCAAGGCTGCCACTTTTGCCTCTGCCTTGTGTTCTGAAGTGTCCCCTTTGTGTCATCCCAGCCATAGCCACTTTTGTTTTTGGTTTTTTTTTTCTTAATTAAAAAGACTTCAAATGTGAGATCAGCTCTTTAAGTCTTAGTCTGTACTGTAAGGTGCTGCTCAGACCTGTGTGATGGTCACTTTCAGCCCCTATGTATGAACTTTATTTTTTAGATGGAGAATCTAACATTTTAATTTTGCGGGAATTTTTTTTTTAATCCTGGTCTGCTTCTGAAAGGAAGGGTTCCTAATGAATCTGTTTGCCTTTTGTTCTGTTTTATTTTTTAAAAAAAGCAACAAACAAACACCAATAACTACACGTTCTGTGACAGTGCTAGTGGCTGGGCCAGTTTACTCCCTGATTTAGTGCAGTGACACTTGAAGTTGAGGGCAGAGTTTTGATCACCTGCAGATGTCCCTGCTGCTCTGTTGCTTCTCCTCCAGCTTCCACCAACCTCTCTGCATTTCCATCCAAACGAAAAGGAGTTGGTCTTTTAACACTTGGCCAAAAAAAAGAAGGTATTTCTTCAGAAATGCTACGATAGAAACTGAATTTCATTGTCTGTGGTAGGAATTTGGGATTCATCGTGGGGTCAAAGTCTGACAAACTGGAGCGTCGCTCACCACTGCTGTTCTGCTGATCCTGCTGATGTCTCTTCTTGTCCACATGCCTTATTCTGTGCTGAACTGGATACTTGTGTCATTCTTGCTAAAGCTGAGTGTTCCTGCACGACCCCTGGGTTGGATAACCATGTGTGTCCCTGGAAAGAAGTCCTGGAGGGGGGGGTTGGGGAAAAATATTCAGGTGTTCAATCTCTTGTCCTGTGGTTCTGCAGCACTTACAGTTGCACCATCGAGCATGCTCAAAATGTTGGAAACTCTCCCTCTGGGAAAGGTACAGCTGATTCCTGAGCAGAATTGCTAGCTGGAGAAGTGCACCACTGAACAGGATAGTTCCCCTGATGCATTGGCACACTTCACACGATTTCTTTCTTTTTGTTTGTTTGTTGTTTTTATTGATGTAAGTTTCATGCTGTCTTGATTTGCCAACAGTGTTGTCTAGTTGGGAAATAAAGTGGGAAGGGTTGGGGCTGAGGGGGGGAGGTGGGTTGGGACAGGTACAAGTTTTGGGAGGGGCATTAATTAATCCCTGGCTTGGGACAAGAAGAAGTTGCTGAAGAATTCAGTGACTTCTCCTTTGTCAGAGCATAGCCAAGATGTGAAATTAAATCTGCAGTACTCTTGTGGTTTTTTTTCCTCCTCTTTATTTAACAAAAAATATTCTAATAAACACTCACTGTT